CATGGCGATAACAAAGTCAATATGGCGAACATGTTGGCAAACTATTTACATCAAATTGTCCACCTCATGAATGTCCAATATTGTACAAAGACAGTAATAGATTTCCTAGTACCAAAAACGTACCCCACACAGTAATTCCCTTCTTCTTCTTTGTGTCAGACTAGACATATTGCTGCCACCCTGTTTGTTAGTAATGTTCCTTTGACAGTTATTTATTCTTTTTATTGTCCAACACTGTACAGATATTCAGTTTTATTTCATTATTTTAGTCCAGTTATCCAGTTTGAGTAAAGTACACCGAGCTGCTCCCAGGTCTTTCATCAGCTTCCTCCTTTGAAGTGAGTAATTATACTGTAATGTATAATGTTAAAAAGAATTTTATAAAAAATTGGTATCATTCAGAAACCGGCATGGAAGTCAAGGTTGACATTTCTGAGCAATACCCAGCCCTGAAAACACAACACCTTCTGTGGTTCAGTAATGGCTTAAATGCATTCAGAACAATGAGTTTAGTTACAGAGAACCAGGGCAAATATTAAAGAGGGTCTACAGCTGAAGTAACTTCAGTTCACCTGTTTTTTTGTTTGTTTTGTTAGGATTCAGTGTGAGTTAATCCTCCAGCCTCGGACCTTTCAGTCGATTCTGTTTTCTGTGTCTCATCAGTTGTTCGGTCTGCAGCGTTATACTTCAACACCCACGACAACAAACACCCACAATGTGCTCTTCCCTTTCACTCAGCTCCCATAGCGATGCTACACACTGCAGGTTGTCACGGCAACTGCATCACCGGCTGGTGAGTCACCTGTATGTTGCCATGGGAACTGTCTTGCTAGTGACACCCCCCTTCCTTCCCTTCCCAATCAACCCCCCCACCCTCCCTCCCTCTGACAGGAGCGGAGAAAGGCTACTGTAGAGGCTTGTCTTGTGTGTGTTCACACGTGTGTGTCGTCCCACGTTTGGCTGTTACATATCGTCTGTGATTGGCTGCAGGCTAGAGGAGAGTTGAACTGTCAATATACAGTGTAGAGTTTGTGTGTGTGTGTTTTGTTTATGTGTGTGTATGATCTGGGAGGTTAGCTGCTTTATGTCAAAGTGTCTTTTGGCAGAAAATTGCTCCACTGACGTAAGTGAGCAGTGTGGGTGTTCTGTTTGTTCTCAGCTCTCTAAATGCTGTTACCTGGCCAAATAAGAGAGAGACATAGAGAGAGGATGGAGATGAGAGTGAGAGAGACATCTGCACATAATGTGGGAGAGCAGAAGAGGCAGAAAAACAAAAAAAAACTAAAGTCAGAGACGACAGGATAGGTGAGGGAGAACTCCATATATTTCCATTTCATTGCAGAAAATGACTAGAAATGCCTTACAGGCTGCAGATGCTGTCTTGTTGCAAAAAGACAGACATTAACGAAAGGTGAGAAAAGAGTCTGAGAAAGAGAGAGGGGGCAGATTATACATTCAGTCTACGAAGTTGGTGGGTTGTCTCAGGCTAAGCCATCTACATGAATGTGAATCTGTGACGCAGCAGGAGGGAAAATCCTAGATTCCTGCTTTTGGGTCCAGTCACATGTTAGGCTAATTGGACATGGGTATGAGTCAGTCTCTCTCTAGCTGCTTCTGAGAGGACGGATATGATGATGAAGGAACATGGGGAAAGAGGGACTGAGATGAAAGAGGAAAAGGGAAGAGCAGAGAGACAGACTTGCTGCATTACACTGCAAAAAATTATCTTTCTTGATACGTCAGTCTGTTCCTGAGTCTTAAAAATCGTACTTTTGGCAAATGTTACATTATGCAAATAGGATGGATTTTTCATCTTTCAACTTGTTTTAATATCAAGTGTCATAATTTTCTTGCTGCTTGGTTTAGATTAAACTGAAATGAGTCTCGGGATGTTGCAGCCACACTATACAGTACAGCAGTTAGAGGACAGATAGACGGTTAAAAATAATCCTACACCAAGAAATAACAGAAATATGAATATTTAAATTTGTGTTCATTACACATCATGCACCTGACAACCCCACTGTGCCAAGAACATATCAAGTAGAGTTGAGTCAAAGTAATAGTAACAGGATAGGCAGCAGTAATGAAAATAATACACTATTAATGTAAAATGCCAAGAAATAAATGTAGCATTGAGTGTGTGAAAGTTGTAAATGTAAGTGCAATATCTTACATACAAATCCAAAGAAATTGTTATTTCTGAAGGAAATAAAAGTGTGATTTGCCTTCTTTTAACACGTTGGCATAAGCTTCTAGGTGGTAAACTGTTGGTATTAGTGGCATCATCTTCTTGTGCTGGTCCATGCTGCTGCATTAGATGTGAACTTTAATCACTTTAATGGCTTAATCATTTAGCTTTTGTTGTTCTCACTACCACACTTCTTTATTTTTCATGCAGTCCTGCTGAATAATAAAGCACATGTCCTGTTGCTTTCATGACAAAGAAATTGATAGGCGTACTTAATACACATTTCACATTGTGGCTGATTGGTGCATTGGTTAAATAAGCTACAGATATTCTTTGTGTTTTGCCATAAAACTACTTTAAAGAATCTACATATGTATAAATAGAATCTGATAAACATAGTTACAAAGTTTAACTAAATGAGATCTAAAGTGGCATGTTATACAACCCAGCCAGCAGAAATTCCAGCAGAGGGTCAGCTGATAATCATGAGATGAGCAAAGGCAGGGTGATCAACTCAGAGATAACAGGATAAAAATAGGTGAAGAACTAAACATTCAAATCAAAATAACAAAGACTCAGGATTGGCACACAGAGGAGTTTCAAGTGAAATACGTGTCCAGGCTAATGGACCTGAGGAGTAAAGGGAAATGTTACAAATAAAGTTATGATATCAGGAGCAGAATTTGCCCATGCTGCTCTTACTATGCCATAGACCACTGTACTACGCAGTCTTTAAACAAGAGGCCATCAAGCTTTTTTGAGAGGTTTCTTGAAACAAGTGAACTGCATGTTAAACTGACCATAGCAAGAGTTGTCTCTTGGTATAAGAAAACTTTTTAAAAAAACAGAATGTGGGACTGAAGGATGTGTGAAGATGGATGTTTTTTGCAGTGTAAGCCCTGCCTGATATCCACCTGTCCTGTGCTGCTGGCTAGTTTGTCTGCAGCTGTGGGCTGCTGCAGTCCCACAGTTGAGGAGCCACTACAGCGCTCTTCGAAGCCTCAGACAATCAGGGCGGCTTTATCAAAATCCATCTGGCGACTGTCACTCAGTCCAGCCGCTACAGAAACACCAGGGAACTGTTGTCAGTGAAACTGCCACCCCAAACAACTTCCTGCTCTTTCATGTCTCTGCTTCTTGGACATCTCTTCTCTGCCATTCTCTTTTTTATTTTACTTTTATCATTATT